ACAAACGATAATATAAAAAATTAGTCTATTAATATGAACTTTTCTTTGAAATCAGTGCAGAAGCTACAGTGCGGCGGTGTTAAAACGGATCCGGAAGCTACCTGGGGCAGTTGCTGGGTATTCTCGGCCTCCTGGCAGACGAATGTCACGAAATCCGAGAGTGTGTCGTGACCGTTTTCGGGGTACTTGACCACCCCCGAGCTGGGGTGCTCCGGCTGATAGTAAGCGAGCCCGGACATACTCTGTCCGGAACCACCGGCCAGTCCCTCGTGCGGGGAGTGCAATCCTGAAACAACAGTTCTCCTATGTTAACCATTGCACACGTGGCCACCAGCCACGCCGAAACCACCCCCTAAATAATCCAGCGGCGATCCTTTCCCAAATTCGACTCCGTTCTCCACTTTACTCAATCATTCCCTCATAATTAATTGCCTCGTTAAAATCCTCTCTTCCCTGATTCAATCGATCATATTAATTAAATCGCGTTACCCAAATGCATTTTTCGATACATTCCCTTTCTTCTCATCGAGCGTCGAAACATAATCGGACTAATCGCGATAGTTCCCCTCGGGAGATTTCACCCTCGCCATTGTTAATGGTAATTGTTAATATGCAGAGAAATGTTAGTAAAGTTGGATCCCGTCGCGGGAGCTTAGCAGAAGAGGGAGCAAACAGAGGTAACGATTGCTGCTGCGAGTCTGTTAGGGGCTGGTTTTAGTGGTGTACTTTTAGCTGGGGTAGGGGGTTGTGGGGTTCGACCAACTATAACGATCGTGTTAAGTATAATATATATATGTATACACACACACATGTATGTATGTATGTATATACATATGTATATAAGGCACTCCAAGCGTGAGGCTGGCTGGCTGAAATGTACATGTATTTATATACGATTACACATATACGCGCGCGCGCGCATCCCCAAATCTTTTTGTTCTTCTTTCTGTTTTCTTACTATTAAAAATTTTTCAATGGACTATTTTTAGGCGCGCACGTACATTATGCGTGGTTATACACATGTATGTATATATAGATAGATAGACAGAATATATATATATAGGTATACATGTAGAGATAGATATATGTAGTGCAACAACAAACATCAAACAGCAAGATAACAACGATTAAACAACACATCAAAAAAACATCAAGATCAACAACAACATCACATCAAGTACAAAATGATATACATATATACGCGGCGATATATATGTACGTATATAATAATGTATGTATATATATATATGTCAATGGTAAACAACAACACCAACATCGCAACAACGATATATAGGTATATATATATATATGTATACTGTGTACACTATATATATAGATATATATAT